AGCAGGGGCACACTCTGCATGCCATTTAACATTTATGGCTGGGGAGTCTTTCATTTTTCAAATGGAAAGTAGGAATGCTAATGATCTCCTGTAATGAAAAGTAGAGCAAGTCAGAATACATTGGGAAAATAATGTCATTGACACATGTATCCTTTTGTAACAATTAATAATTTAGATCCTTGTCACTTGTGCTCATAGCTAGTATTAAAAAAATCTAAAACAAATTATGGAGTGTGTCATTAATTGGTAGGCTAAGAGAGAAATTGAAAATGAGAAATCTGCTAAAAACAGCATGTGCTCTCAGGGACCTTGTGAACATTCCTGGAGTGTTCTTGTCTCTTTCCTCAAGTGAATGTGGCTGTGGTATTTTTTTCTCTGTGTCAATTGCAGGGTTTTGCATCTCTATTCCCTTCCTCCCATCTTTCTGATCAACAGTCAGAATGATCTTGTCACAGGAAAGTAGGGAGTGGAAATTCCAAACTTCAGTTCTTATGTTCCAATGAAAAAAAAAAACTTAAAGTCAGACACACACACACACAAAAAAAAAAACATGCAAAAGAACTTTATTATGGGTGAAAGGTAAGTAAAAGCAAAGTGAGGCATAAGCAGAGAGTACTCTTAAGAGATAGTGGGTCATCTCTGAGCAGAGAACAACAAAGAAGATAGTGCTATCTCCAAATTTGATATTTACCAGGAGAGCTGGGAACCACATTCTGTACCACAATCAGGTGTTCAACTCCTCTTCACCTCGATAAGGAAGTTGGTCCTCTCCAGAACTGTCATGGTGGCCATCCTATTTAGGGAAACTTCATTTACAAATCAATCCCATGCTAATGTGGGCACTGAGGTTAGTAGCTGATCAGAAGTTACCTTAGTGTGTCTTTGCTACTAAAGGAATCTTCTTTCCTCAGTGGTAGAGCACTTGCCTAACCTGTGAGGCACTGGGTTCAATCCTCAGCACCACATAAAAATAAATGAATAAAATGAAGGTACTGTGTCCAAATACAGCTAAAAAAATATTTTTTTAAAAAAAGGGAAACTTTAAAAAAAAATATTTACCACACAAAGGAAGACACATTTAGCCATAGTTCCTAGCTTCACATCAACATCAATGGATCCTGTCAAGAGTTAGTCCCATTAATTTCTTTTGTTGTATTTTCCCATTAGCTCCTTTGCTTCTGTTTATTTTCTACAAATTAAATACCAAACTTTGCTTTCTCTTCTTCTTTGAAAGTAGAGTAAAGAAGACCTTAAAGTAATTTAAAAACACTTGTGACCTCTCCATGCACTTCATTGCTCATTGCTAGCTACCAGCTACAAATCTCACCCTGGGCTTGGTCCAAGAATCAGCAACTGGTTCTTCCCACCCCAGCTTGTCTGTTTCTCAGGTCCTCTAAGGTGGTTCCCATGGTCTTCTAGGGTCAATGTGGGCCCATCAACCCCCAGGTTACAGAATTCAATGGGCTTCACAAGCACCACCCAGGGGGCAGGTTGCCAAGCTGCTTGCTTTATGCTTCTGAGGTTCATCATGTTCTTTATTATCCTCCTCATCTTCTAATCTTCCCTTGGGATTGGTATGAGAAGAAATTCCCTGATTGCCACGTGAGGTCTGCATAGTTCTCAGAAGTTGCCCTCATCCCCATCCTCCTGCTTCAGTCCAACACCCTGGATGGATTCCTTCACATTTCTGTGTGTTTTCCTTAGTTTCAAGCAGAAAAATTGGCACCACTATTAAGGAGTTCCCTGGTCAGACTTCGTAACTATGAAAGTAATTTTTTTCCAAATCATGGCTCTGCCCTGCTCAGCCCACCCCAGTACTGTGATATGCTATAAGGTGCTTAAAAGGAAGAAAGACTGGATTCCCACTCATCTCTTAGCATTATTGACATTTGGAGCCTGATGATACTTCAGTGTGTGTGTGGTAGGACATTAAGAAGCATCCCTTGTCCCTACCAGTAGCACTCACCTCCCAGTTGTGACAACCAGAGACTTCTACATAGACCGCCAAGCGTCCCTATGGGCTCAAGTTTGCCCTGATAAAGAGCCATTGCCAGAGGAACATGCATTGACCATGTTCTCTAATATTGGTTCTATAATTCGATGTACCGGGCCCTTTCCCTTACTTACAGAGTTAAAATAGAATAAGAGAGAAAGAAGATCAAGGATTACTGCAGAATTTTGCTGTTTTCTTAAATAATGGTGGGGTCCATGAGTGACATGGGAAGACTTCAAAGAGAGAGGGTAACTGTAAAGGTGCCAATCTGAGCTGGTTGAAAATCCTTCTCAACATCATCTTGTTTCCTCCAGCTTCCAGAATGTGACACTCATGACTAATTGCCTATTTATCTATACCTACTATTTTTATTGTGTGTGCACACATATGATGCTTTCAGATATCCAATGCTATTATTTAGCATTTTTCTAACCCTTATTATAATTAATGTTGGTCTGTCATTTTTTCTTCAGTAAGTTTTATCATCAGTGTATTTTCTATTTAAAATGAATTAAGCATGGGTAAAACATTTTTACTCTCCTTTCCAAATTTACAATTATAAAACATATCTACTTTCTGAACTTTTATACTTGGTAGAATTTTTTGAACCATTTCAATCTGAACTGTTTTGTAATAGGGAAGTTTAATTTTTTTTCTTGGTTACAGATTGTATGTCATTTTCTATTTCATCTAGAACTAATTTCCATATGTCATGTTTTCCAAAAACGTATCTATTTTATATGGTTTATTTTTTTCAGTTCAAAATATTAAATTTTAGACCACATAATTTATGTTCCCATAAGATAAAATAGATAGTTCAAATCAGTGTTAATAGGAAAACTTCATGAAATGAAAGTTTATGCTGTTTGATGAATAAGACTATGCTATGTTTAAATATACCTGCTCTCTTCTATATTCCTGGCATCCAGGATGAAAAAAAAAATCTTTAAATATACATCTAATATAGGTAATAGGTTCTTTGCACATATCTCTTCAAAAAATGCTTTATAGCAGCATATAAATAGTTTACATACACATTTAATTTTACAATTTTGCCCCCAAACAATAGATCTGTTTTATTTTTATATCAATTTTGCCCAACATTTATAAATATGACAATGTGTTGAAATGGAAATGTTTTTGTCATTCACAATAGAAGTAGCAATTTGACAGGGAAAAAAAAAAAACCTACAGTAACCCTGGTCAGTTGTTTAACCTGAGCATTTGACCTACTAGAGAGTAGCATCTTCTTGCTTTCATAAATGCTCACATCCACATCACCTCTGCATACAGGTTGGGCACATGCTTCCAGACACTGGTAGACCACAATGTCCTTCCCATTGCTCTAATCACTGAGAAGCAGTGTGGCTGATGATTAACCACACTAGCCAATACCTTAAGACAGCCATTGTAATGAAGGGCAGATTTGATATTTCATATCAAGTCAACCTATGTAACTCATAAACACTCATAAAAACTCATACAATTTTGTTTTTAACCCTCCAAAATAATGTTTTAATTTTTTAAAATTTTGTGCAAATTTCTAAATATTCCATTATTGAAAGCAAAGAGTTCACTTCATAAAAGGTCAGAAAATAGGCTTATGTTTCTCCAGAAGCATTTCACCTTGCACAATATTTTTTTTATTAACACACACAACTTTTAAGTGTGGACATTGGAGCCCCAACTATGTGCTAAAAATTATTTCTAGTAAAAAAAAATAATAAGTTTTTCAATAAAACTTTTATTGGGAAAATAAGTTTTCCCAATAAAACCTGGGTTGAAGGCATGCTCTCTCTCTCTCTCAATTTATTTTCAAGGAAATAAATTGATTTGAGTTATGGACACTGGAGCTCCAAAATCTAAATAATTATTTCTATTAACAAACACAATTTTTGAAAATCTGAAGAAAGGACCAGAAAAAAAAAAAGCAGCTTCAAATGCAGGAAAGCAAAGTAAAATGGGGGGTGTGGTGACTCAAGTTTATTAATACTGAAACTTTCACCAGGACCAACTTTCATCTTTTTAGGAATTTAGAGCAACTCATTTGTAATTTTCTATAAATAAACTTAAGTTAATTCACATCTTCTGGTGCAAGTAGAGTTCTGGAGCCATGATTACTTGCTGTTGGTCAAATCCAGTATTAGTCTTTTGATGTGAGCCAGTTTGTTATGAAGATACTCACATCTGTATTTTCCTTAGTCATCGGGACTGCAGTGCTAGATTGGCTGATATTCTTGTAAGACTTCTTCATGAACCTTCTGATACTCTCTGGAGAACCATGTGTGTGTTCTTTTGTTTGTTTGTTTGTTTGTTTTGAACATTGTTTGATAAAGCTTCTAGCTGCCACTTTCATCTTAGCCAGCAAAGTCCTGCTCTCATCATACTCAGAATTGAAGTTGTCCTTGTAATCCCATCATTGCTTATAGCAGACGATCACAATATAGTTATCCTGGGAGCTCAATGTTGAAGAAGGTTCCGTGGAGGCAGTGCAACCTGCTGTAACTCCCTCACAGAAATCCAGACTGGAGTTACTCGGCTTGGCAATTTCTTCTGCTCTTCAAACATCTTCCTTCTTCTTCTAATTGTCGCAATGTTGAGTATTTTTCCTTATGTTTTTTAGACTGGTGGGGCACTGGAACCACATCCCCAGCCCTATTTTGTATTTTATTTAGAGACAGGGTCTCATTGAGTTGCTTAGTGCCTTGTTGTTGCTGAAGCTGGCTTTGAACTTATCATCCTCCTGCCTCAGCTGTTGGGAGCCACCCTGGACAGGACTATGTACACACCTTTAAGTCCTGAATTAAAGAGGTGCTGGGCTGGTATTGCATCCATTGCAATGCAAATGGACTTTACCTCTGATCTGATAAGAAAGGTGCAGCTCTCGAGTGGGCAGTCACCTGATAGGGGTGAATTACACCCACCTACCTGTTTGTTGGAACCTTACCCTTTTTACCCTTTGCCCTTTTATGACAGAATGTACTTTGGAACAGCTTCTCCCAATAAAACCTGGGTTGGAGGCATGCTCTCTCTCTCTCTTTCTTGCCTGCCTTGCCTCCTTTGTGGCAGCTGGATCAGAGGGACCATCACAGAACCCAAAGAAAAAGATATTTCTCTGTCTTTGTGTGATTATTTCATGCCAGCCCACTTCTCCTGGAGGGACTGACTGGTTTAGTCATGTGTCATCAAGTCACCGCACTCAGCCTCCTGAGCCACTGTGATTACAGGTATGCACCACCCTGCCCGGCTTTTTTTTTTTTTTAAGAGCTCTTTCTGGAATTTTTGTGAGACATTGGTTTCTTCCATAGGCTGTGGACACTTTAGAACTGAACCAGCTGATAAGGTTTCCAGAGAAGACCTAGAGGTATTTTGTCGTGCTGGTTTTCATAGACACTACCATTTTCATTAAAACTTTCAAGAGGTAGATCACGAGTTCCTCATCCTTCTGGAGTGTTAGGGGAACTGGAGTTCAAATTTTTCAGTCTGAGGAGGATTTGAGACAGGCAGGAGAGTTGAAGACAGTGGAGGAGGGGTGGGGATGGAAGCAGATGCAGGGTGGTGGGGCACCTACCGAAGATTTGTCTTTAGTGGGATTCAAAGGTCCATTTAATGTTGGCTGTATTCTCTATGTCAAATGAGATAGTCTATCTCTTTGATTCATTAAAGGATCAATAAAACCTGAATCCAAAGGCCATTTCCGAGGAGTGGATGCAGAATCTCTACTAGAAAACATGAGAGATTCTGAACAACCAGGGCCAGAGGAATCCTGAGATGGATTTAGCTTTCTAGAGAGCATGAACACCAATATCAACTGTTTGGCTTTATCCTGGGCAGTCTTGCCAAAGCTGCTTAAACACATAACCCTTTAAAGTATAGAAGAGGTGTTTTGGAGTCAGAATGGCTCCCAGAGTGCTTACTCCACCTTTCTGCAGTGGAGCCCGCAGTTCAGGTTTCTTGTAGGACTTGAGTGGCAGTAAGTGAATCACCCGGTCCCTGTATGGCAACTGAGAAACACTGCTATTGTCTTTACTCTTGCTCTTTGGGGTTTATTCTTGCTCATTCTGTATGGATCTAAGATAAATTCCTCAGTGCATTTGTTTTCATCTTCTTTGGCTCTTTGAAGCTTAGAAATAGAGGCAGGAATAATTCCAACACTTCCTATATGGAAAGACTTCTATCTTCTTTCTCCCTTCTATCATCTCTGTATATCTATATCCAATCTATATCCAATTTCTATATCCAGTAGCCAGGGAACAAAGCATAGAGAAAGACTCAACTTGGGAACTCAGTTGAACTGGAACATGCTATTACCAAATCATCAATAGAAAAGTGGGAAAGCATTTAGTATTCTCTGAAAATTCTGAATTGTCTTGAGGCACTCATAATCTAAATTCACAGTTAATCTTAAACCACCTCTCATATGTAGAAACTGGAGATGGGCAACAACTTAGGTTCTCAAGGGCAAGAACTTATTAATTTCTGTTGATGAAGCTAGTAGTATTCTTCACAATGTAATTGTCACCCCTCTATTAAACTCAGAAACAATAGGACAAGACCATTTAACATGGTATGACACAATCAAATATATATTTGGGTAACAGAATATTTATTCAGAATTTTCAGCTCTTCTATTTTTGTATCACTTGTTCAGATACATGGTATCCTTAGGGAGGAAAGGATGCACATATCCTTGCAGCACCTCACTTAAGAGAAAATGAGACATGTATTACAGTATATGGAGGATTCATCAATAAGCCTTCAAATGAAGAAAGTTTGATGCGAGAGCAACTTCAGAAAGTTAGCCCAGGTGAGGCAGATCAATAAGGGATAGTGAGTCACCAGAAGCCAGGAAATATAAAAAGCCATTATCAAAGCTAGCACAGGAGCAAGACCGGGAGAAACATTTTCTAAAAAAACTCTATTGGATTACGAACACTTGATTGAGGCCACTAAGCGTGATTCTCTTAGTGGCAGATGCAGCTACCATCAGAAATACAGCCCAGGCAAAGAGACAGCAAGCAGGCCATGTTCTCACCTCTCACTTCACACTCAGACACTTGCTGCTGCCTCTCAATAGCTCAACTTACTGGCAGCTGGGAGGTGAGGGAGCTCTACTGATGTGGCTATCCACCTGAAGACTCAGGCCAAGAAAGTTCAAATGGATCTGGGAATACATTATGGAAAATCTAACACTAAAGTCACATTAGAAATTCTTGGTCTGTTCTACTACCCACGTAAAAACTGTTCTTCCTGATCGCATTTATATGTGGAATCCCAACTAGTCAAACTCATAGAAGCAGAGAGTGGTTGCCAGGGGCTGGGAGAAGGGAATAATAAGGATGTGTTGGGCAAATGATACAAAGTTTCAGTTACACAATGTGAAAAAGTTCTGGAGACCTAACGTATGGAATGATTATAATAATTAAAAATACTTAATTACACACCTAAAATTTGCCATGTGAATAGATCTTAACATTCACTCTATACACCATACACACACAGACACATGCACACAGACAATGTAGAGGTGCTAATTTTGTTAGATAAATGGACTTTGATTATAAGTTAACAGAGTTCATATATCAAAACATTAAATTGTACATATACAGTTTTTATATGCTAGTGATATCTTAATAAACCTATTACAAGAAATGGTCTCACATGGTGACATTAAAGAGTAGCAGGATTTCTCAGATACTCTTCCCAAAGAAGGGTTGCATTTCAAAAAGTATTCTGTACAGTTAGATTACTCTCATAAAAAAATTGTTTAAAAGACAACAAGGGAGCTAGATATTAACTCAAATGTGCTGAAATGTTCTATTCATTTAGTGGGTTTAACCATTATTGCAAGTTAATACTCCTGAAAGATAAGAACTCAACAACTGAGTTCCAAAGCCAAGAGAAGTACCTAAAAAGCAAACCAATGAAAATTGAGAAGTACATCAATCAAATAAAATAGCTTGCCTTTGTTAACATCTAGACCCATACCAATATTGCAAAACAAAAATACAAACAAAAACGTGGCTGTCGGGGAAGTTTGATCTGATTAAGAATTGAGGACAATGAAGTATTATTGTTACTTCAGTTTGGTAATTTTATTGAACTTAAGTTAATAAAAATTCCTGATAATTAGGAGAAACATACTGAATGATGATATCTTGGGTTGGCTTTAGAGTCCTGCAGTAGGATTAGGTGAATTAGGATTGAAGCTAGTTACAAACACATGCAGTTTTTTATGATGTTTTCCCTAACTTTGTTTCAGTTTCAAACTTTCCCTAATAAAGACTTTAAACAAGAAAAAGCAGACTGATACAACTGAAGCAGCTCAGGACATAACTAAGGACATAATGGCCCTGAGTTTACAGCACTTTTGGTAAGATCAAAGCTGTAAGATGTTCTCTGGTGTAATAACCCTTTCAACTTTATTCTTCCCTCTTTCTTTCAGTTACTTTACTTGCTTGCAGTCATGGGTCAGTTGTTCTCTGCTACTCCTAATCATGCTCAACACCAAGCTTTGGTCCCTAGATTTACGTCATATTTTAACAACTTCGAAATGGGAAGCATAATCATCTCTCAAAAAACCTCCAGTTTGACAGTGTCACTCCTACAAAAAGGGAACATTCAGGAGGCAAATTCTACAATCAGGAATGCTTTAAAAGAAATTGACAATACCCAACTCGACATTGCTGTGACAGGGGAGTCTGGAGCAGGGAAGTCCAGTTTCATCAATGCCCTGAGAGGGGTTGCACATGAAGAAAAAGATGCAGCTCCTGTTGGGGTGGTGGAGATGACCATGGAGAGAACTGCATACAAACACCCAAACTTTCCCAATGTGAGAATCTGGGAGCTGCCTACAATTGGAGCCACTAATTTAGAGCCAAAAGATTATCTGGACAAAGTAAAATTTAGGGAGTATGACTTCTTCATTATTGTTTCTGCTACACGATTCAAGAAAATTGACCTAGACTTGGCCAAGGCAATCAAAACTACGAAGAAGAATTTCTACTTTGTAAGAACCAAGGTGGATTCTGATTTACGAAACGAAGAAATGTCTAAGCCAACTACCTTTGACAGACAAAACGTCCTGCAGCAGATCCAAGAGAACTGTGTGAGAAATCTGAAGAAGAATAACATTGAGGAACCACAGATATTCTCAATTTCCAACAACAATTTATCTGAGTATGATTTCCCAATCATGACGGACACCCTAATAAAGGATCTTCCTGCTCAAAAGCACCACATTTTTAAGTTTTCCTTGCCTAACATTACGGAGGCAGACATTGAAAGGAAACGGGATTCTCAGATGAAGTATATCCGGCGAAAAGCCTCCAAAGCTGGAGTATCTGCCTTCACACCTTTCAAGATCTTCTTCAGTAACAAGGAAGTGGAGAAGCTCAAGGAAAGTTTAAACCAGTATCGAGTACTTTTTGGAGTTGATGATGCATCCCTGAAAACTTTGGCTAAGCATTTGCAAGTGCCAGAAGAACAACTCAAAGAAATCATTAAATCTCCAACTTTGTTGGAAACTGAGAAGGAAGAAACAATAGGGGAAATGTTATTGAGATATTTGAAGAATTTTTTTATACATAATGGAGGCCTCCTTGGTGCAGCTCTTTACTATAATAAAATATATTATTTGCAACTTTATCTCCTTGACACGGTAACCGATGGTGCTAAAGTTCTCCTTAAAGCCATATATTCAGGAAAACAGTTCAAACCCAAATCACACACAGCTGCTGACCACAACAGAACCTAATGATCAACACCAGAGCCATCCTCTGCTCACATTTTATCTTGAAACTACCCAATCAGCAACCCCCATGGGAAATCCTAGGGGAAAAGACACATGGGCCTTAATTCTAGGATAATCCCAGTGGGCATTTTCCCTCTCTCTCTTGCTCTCTCTCCCCTTCTACCCATCCTGCTTTCTCTCTACCCCCCTCTCCCTCTCTTCCTCCCTCTCCCACACACACATTTTCAAGCTCCCTGTCACCTCTGCCATTCCTCTCTGTGTCCGGACTGCACTCCTCTCCTCTCTGGAACATGGAAAGAATCAGCTCTTGGTTTCATGGATTTTGTTTCCCATCCTCATCATCTCACCTGACACACATACCTGAGCTTTAGACTCCCTCCTGCCCTCATCCATCCTGTGAAGACAGAGACTATCATAGCTTTTGGCCACTCTCAATAGGGAGACCTCAACACCAAAGTAGAAAGAAACCCATAACCATAGGAAACACAACTCAAGATAAATGATTTTTAACGAGTTTCTATGAATCCTATTTAGACAGAATCTTTTTTGAGACAATAACTAAAGGAAATCTATGATTCTGTATTGGAAGCAATGGGGAGCCCTAGGAGAGCTCTCTGGTTAGAGACTACTGCTGATCTTTTGATTGTTGTGATGGTAAGGAATTGCTTTAATCCATATCTAATGCCAGAAAGTATTTGCTGATGCGATTTTATATTCTCAATACATCATGACACTTCATATGGATTGTTGTACTGTTTTTATTTACTGATAATCTCCTTGACTATTCAGTAGCCTATCACTTGATTTTTTCCCTAAAGGGAAAAAAAAGAACCGAATTAAAAAAAAAAAAAAAAGGCAAAAAATGATTCCCCCGTGAGTGGTAATGTCTTGTTCAGTTTGGACTGCTACAATAACACCACAGATTGGATGGATTAAACATCATAAATTTATTTCTCACACTTCTCAAAACCGGAAGACAAAGATCCAGGTGCCAGCATGGTTGTGTCCTGGGGTGGAGCACTCATGCCAGTCTTGTCCTCACATGGCCTTCCTTGGACCATGTATGCAAAGAGACTCATTTTTCTCCCTTCTTTCCATAAAGGCATCAATCTCCGCATGACATGCTCTGACCCTAATTACTACTTCTTTATCACCATCTATCCAAGCTGGTGACCTATATTGGGTTCACAAAATCTGACTACTTCAATAACTTAAGAAAATGGTGAAGAAAACATGCAAGCCCACAGAAGTACCTTTCTAAGATCCAGGGACGACTCTGCGACCTTAAGGTCTGTGGAAAGAGAGAGAGCCACTGGAACACACAAGGGGAGGTTCCATGGAACATTCTGTCCAAAAAAGGGTAAAGAGTAGGATTACCAAGAAACAAGGAGGCAGCCCACTCCTGTTGGGCAATGCCCATTCCCAGAGCTGCACCTTTCTATCTGAGCAGACACGAGTCCACTTGCATTGCAATAGGTACAACACCAGTCCAGTTCCTCTTTAGTCAGGACTTAAAGGTGAGTGCATAGGTGGCTCCTACATATTCCCCCTTTTTTCTTTGAAAGAGTAGGTGATGAGTTGTTATCTTGAATTCCTGGATTCTTGTTCTGAGGGCATGACATCATAGTGTCACAATACAAAAGAGGATTAATAGCAAAGATAACAGTCCAATAATATACCATGCAGAATGCTTCAGTATTTCTCCAGGATTGAAGTCATTTAACTGACTCAAAAAGACCCAGGTTATTATCATTACTCTGCCAAACACTCATCAGAAGATTTTTAACCTTTTCCCAATTTTAGTGGGAAGCATTATGTTTGACCACAGTAACACAGACACACTTAATTGGCGTGGCATTTAAGCCTTTCCTCAAACCATAGAGCAGAGGGCTCATTGGTATTATTCATTACAGTGGCTTCTAGAGTGTTCAGCTTTGTTCCAATCCTTCCATCAGTATTCATCTGACTATGGAGAATCTTTGAAGTAATTTAATTCAAATTATTAAGAAAATTCACATGATGTAAGTTTTGAGACATAGCCACAAAGGCTTTTAATTGTACAAACAATAATATTTTAAGTAGTCACTTTAAGGATCATGAGATCCAGATCTTGCCTAGGTCTGGTTAATTGGCAGGTACCTATTTTAAAGCCTGAATTTTAATTTCAGCACAGCACGGTTCTGAAATGCCAGCTGACAATAGGACAATGGAACATTCGTGAAGGATCAATGTCCTTTTCCTCTATTATGACTAGTGATACAATTAGGCAAGTTGCATTTTTTATAGGTTACAGGATATTTATCATCCTTTCTCTTAATCCTCACATTTACAGAGTGTTTTAGGTCTGTCAGTATTACAAAAATTCTGGAGGTATAAGTTAAGTATCAAACTTCCTTTTGGATGCCATCTCACTGAAGGTCAAAGTTCCTAGGAGTTATGGCATCCTTATGTTATTGCTTGTGTAGATTCTAGGAGACCAGTCTGTGAATAACTGGCCTATATAGGAAAACTTTATTTCAACAATCTTTCTATTTTGACACTTGTTCAGATATATAAATATAGTCTTAATTTCTAAGGACCAGAATGGTTGGCAGATTTAGGTTTTCATATGCTTTTTCTCAAAAAAAAATACTTTTAGACAGCCAGCATGTATCACAAGATTAACATAAGCAATTGATCATTATAGTCAATATGATTAATCTATATAGTCAATATAATCAATCTAAGTTACATGGGTGGACTTTCCAGTTCACATTGCAAAGCACATTAAAAGTGGACCTGAGAAATGGATCCACAGAAGTCTTCATAAGTTTTACTTACCTGTCAAGCTTGTGAAACCTGCATTGCTGCCAACTCTGCAGCTGGAAATTTACCTTTCTGTAACAGGTTTTTCAGCCATTCTATGATGACCAACTTGAACTCTACCTTTTGAAATTTGATTCAACTTACTAAATCATGTTAAGCAGCAGTAAGACTCTCAATATCACAATTAAGAAAAAATTAAATAGTAAATTACAAATAAGATCTAATGTGTTCTTATGGGGTCCTATTTTCCTCCTTACTTTATTTAAAAAAAAATGAGTAGAGGCCTGGGATGCCATAACATCATTAGTTTAAGTTATAGACAATAGTACAAGTATTTAAATAATAAGAAGGGTTTTATTATCCTTAGGTGGTCATAAAAGTTGACAAAGGTCTCTTACTAGTTATGTTACGTTTAACATTAATGAATTGGAAAGGAACCGTGTTAAATAGTTTAAAGTTTAGCCTTTACTAAATGTATGACTTGATTTGACTTTAACAGAATTACCAATAATGAAGAACATAATAAGTTGTATATAAAAATTTGTATTTTGAAATTAGTTCTAGATTAACTTAAATAATTATCTTATTTTGCAATTAAGTGAGAGACAAGAGTTTTTAATTTAGGAGATTTGGCCTTTACTAAGGGCGTGAGATACACACACACACACACACACACACACACACACACACACACATATGAGAAAGAGACATCTTTCCAGGATAGGAAATACATGTGTTTAATAAACACAGGAAAGGTATTTTATTTTTTACCATTAATAAAAATGAAATAGAAAAATGAATAGTTCTTTGTTTATCAATCTATGAAATAGTTCTTTGTTTATCAATCTATGAAAAAACTGTCATTACTGTTATCAAACTTAGTGTTAACCTAAGTATGGGGAGTTAGTATCTCAAATATTAATGGATAAAAACAAGTCAACAGTATGGTTTAAAACAGTGATCTAATTTAGAATTTTATATGACATTGAGCTAGCAGTGACCTTTGAGGGACTTATGTCAAAATAATCTTTACATAAAAAGAAATGGTTAAATGAACATCTTTAATAGTTTTACTTAATATAGCAAAATTGACTCTAATAATTATGTATATTTTATGACTATTAATTTCAAAAATATGAATGTGTGATATAGGTCATTACCTTGTTTTTAGTTAAGGTAGAGAATGGGTTTATTATGTTTTAAACTTTCCGTTGAGACTAACTACTGGCTATTGAACTGACCTGATCATGGCTGTCTGTCTAATATTTTAGGGGTAACTATTTTTTATTTTCCTCAGTTATAAACTGTTGACAGGGGCTCAAAGTAAAGCCCTGTTTCAATGTTTAGAGGCTTCCAAAATCTGTTTATAACTTAGAAGAGGACTAAAATGTTTTACCCAGGAAGCTTATTTTTATTGGGACAAAGATTAGCATTTTAATCTCTTTCTGTCTGTATGTTTTCTATATTTTCTATTTAATCTCTGTACAAATTTGGGGATAACAGCTAAATTTGGTTCGGGTAATGCCAATTCCTATAATCCTTTGAAATTGGGTGGCCCTCTATAAGTATAGGATGCTGTGTGCTTGCTTTCTTTACGAGTCTCTCTATGGAAATAGAAGGATTTCTCTAAAGGCTTACTAAAATTATTTTTGTGGCATTTTGTTTATCTGTTGGATATTAATCTGTTTGGGGGAGTTGTCTGTGCTGCAGATGGACTATCAGGTTTGTCCCTACTTTGTGTTACTGGGACATGGTTAAGATAAATCCTTTTTAAAATTATTTGGGGTGGTCTTTTACCTTAAAATTTAGCTAAGCATAATATCTTTCTAGGTGAGGTCAGATATTTGGCATAAATTTTGAAACATTACAATACATGTATTGGACCTTTTAAAAATCTCTCTCTCTCTCTCTCTCTCTCTCTCTCTCTCTCTCTCCTCTCTTTCTTTTGTCTATATCAAGTCTAAGAGGTCCCCTTTGATCTTTTTTTCCAGTAGGCAATTTTTTTAAGTCCTTCTCTGATGATAATAGTTGAAGCTAGATATAAAATTTAGACATCTTTTATTAATCATTGTAATTTTCCAGTTAGTATATAGACTATCTGATCCATTTTGATGTTACATGTAAAATGGACAAATTAAAGAAACTTGTAATCCCTTCCTGAGAGAAGGTCTCAAATTATCCTTATTTTTTAGAATATTATTTTTAAATGGGTTAGAGTCAGTTGTTTTAAAAAAAATTATTAAGGTTATTTCCCAGTGTAGGGAGTAGCATACAAGTCTTATCATATATCTGATGGAAAATAAGTCCAGTCAGAGAACTCTACATGATATAAATAAATTTCCAATTAAGTTTGCAACTTTATTGTTTAACATTAACATATGCAAGAATTAACAGTAATTATTGAGATCAATTAAATGTTAGTCTTTTTTATGAAACAAGATTCAGCATTTATTCTCCAACTGAATCTATCCCACTTGGAGACAAAAACATGTATGTTCACTTCTCTTCTTTAATTTTTTATTTGTTTTAATTAGTTACAAATGACAGTACAATGACCTTGATATATCATACATTTGAATCAGATAGGACATAATTTCTCATTTTTCTGAGTGTACAGATTGCAGAATCGCATTGGTCATGCAACACATATAAATCTTAGTCTTAAAACAGAAGTTTCAAAATTGGAACTCAAGGTAGTATTCAAAAACATTGTTTAATCAAGGATGTAAATTTTATTCACTAAAAATTTAGTCCTTGTTCAAACAGTAAAAATTATTAGGTATAAGCTAAATATTTAATAAGTTCTGTCATGTCAGAATATAGACAAAAATCTTAGCTTACATCCTTTTATCATTAAAATCTTAGAATATATAAAGACCTTTTCTTTTACCCAAAGATGATTTCTTTCTTCCTCTTATGACTCTCCAATGTATCCTT